TATAGGCGGTGTACGTTGATTCTACACTTCCACCACCACACTACCACACACCATCACACACCACCACACACACCCACACACCATCACACCACCACACACCACCACACACACCCCACACACCACACACACACACACCATCACCATCACACACACACACCATCACACACTACCACCATCACACACCACACACCACACACACCACCACACACCACACACACACCACCACACACACCACACACCATCACACACACCACCACACACACCACCACACCACCACACACACACCACACACCATCACACCATCACACCATCACACACACCCTACCATCACACACCACACACACACACACCACACACCACCCACACACACCATCCACACCATCACACACCACCACACCATCACACACACACACACCACCACATACACCACACACCACACACCACACACATCACACCATCAACTTCACCATCACACACCACCACACACCACCACACCACACACACACCACACACACACACACACACACCACACACCACACACACCACACACACCACCACACACACCACACACACACCACACACACCACCCACACACCATCACACACACCATCCCACACACACCACCACACACCACCACACACCACACACCACCCACACACACACCATCACACACCACCACACACACCATCACACACCACACACCACCACACCACCACACACCATCACACACCACACACCACCACACACCACCATTACCACCATACAGATTGCTACCATAAATCACCTGCTTGTGTGGTAGTGATGGTGGTGGTGGCTGGTCTTATCGTGTAGGGGGTGATAGGGGAGGGGGGGTTAGGGTTCAGGAAGTGGGGGGAGGGGGAGGGGGAAGGAGATACATTCGACCACACCCTCTTTTGGCCCCTCCCCCCTTCCCTCTTTCCTTCTCTCCCTTCTCCTGTCTCTCCCTTCCCTCTCTTCTTCCCATCCTCCTTCCCTCCCTTCCTCCCTCCTCCCCTTCTCTCCCTCCCCTCCTCCCCTTCTCTCCTCTCCTTCCCTCCGTCTCTCCCTCACTTCTGCAGGAATAGAGGAAGAGGGGAGCTATCTTCCTCCCCATTGACGTGGTGGGGTGATAGATGGAGGGGGGTGAGGGGGTGAGGGGGAGATAGTGTTCCCCTCCGCGATAATATTTCTATGGGAGGAAGAGAAAGGAGAGGAGGAGTAAGAGGAGAAAGGAGAAGAGGAGAAGAGGAAGAGGCAGGGGGAGTGAATGTATGTATGTATGTATGTATGTATGTATGTATGTATGTATGTATGTCATCCCCTCTAACACCCCTTCCCCCCCTCTCCCCAACACCCCCACACCCTCCTCCCCATACCACCCCCCCTCCTCCCCTTACCCCCCATAGGTACACCCACACCGTAACACCTAATTAGGAGGACTATTAAATATCATTATCTTGGCCAGTGTTCCTTAATCACCTCAACGCTTTATTCATTATGGAAATTACTGTTGAAAGGCTTAACGTAATTACCCTTTAGGTGTAAATTCTTTGTGTTTTTGTAATTTATTTTTTATTTTTTTTTATTTGTATTTATTTATTTTTTATTCGTAAGATGTGATGTTGTTGGTTTGTTGTTTTTGTTGTTGTTTTTGCTTGTTTTTTGTTGTTGTTTTTGTTTGTTATTTTTGTTGTTGTTGTCGCTGTTGTTGTTGTTTTTAGTTTTTTGTTTGTTTGTTGTTGTTCATCTAGTTGTTATTCTTCTTTTCTTCTTCTTCTTCTTATTATTATTGTTATTATTATTATTATTATTATTGTTATTATCATTATTATTAGTACTATTATTATTATTATTATTATTATTATTATTAGTAGTAGTAGTAGTAGTAGCCTGGGTACCTGTGGCTGGGTGTAATATTATGGGGTTGTGGTTGATAAATGGGTGTAAGTGTGAGTGGTGTGTGTTGGGTGTCGCCTGTGGTGTAGCAGCTGTCGGGTGGTGATTGATGTGTGTGTGTGTGTGTGTGTGTAATCAGCGAGGACTCTCTCTCTTCTCTCTCTCTCTCTCTCTCTCTCTCTCTCTCTCGCATTTTTAATTCGTCATCGTCTCAACACACTCCTTGCTCGTCGCCCGATTAATAATATCGGCCGTTCGGGTCATCGTCTCAGGTAAGGCTCTGTCCTCACCTGTAATGCGTGTATGTCGCGGCGCCAGTCATTTTGAGGAGCCTCTGCCCCCTTCTGCCCTCCTCTGCCCCCCACCCCTGCATAACTCACGGGGATGCTGTGTTTATCTCAGTTCCCAGCCGCTGCATTGCTCAGTTTGCCATCTCCCTCTCCCTTCATTGCTCCCTGAGAAAACCACTACTACTACTACTACTTTTTTTTTCGTGGCCTCCAGCCTCCCCCAATAGCCACATCTTCACCGCTATTTTATTACCTTAAAATTAACTATCCTAATACATAAGTAGCTACCCTGGCTGTGTTGAGTTAGTTGAGCTGCAGATCTATGTCTCAAAGTCGATATCTGCGACTTTTGTCGGCTTTGGGGCCGATGCTCTCGTTCCCCTGAGGCAAAGGAATGCAGACCTAAGCATAGAGAAGGACAGTCGACATCTCAACCAGGCTGTGACATAACTTCTGGGCTGCTGCTTCTGTTCGGAGATCACCTCCGCGAGTCTGGCGTAGAAACATCTTGCACTTGGTCCCATCCCACCAGAGGTTGTGAACACTAGAGGAGTGAAGCTGCCTTGATCAACGTTTTGAATTCTCTCCCCTATGCCCTTCTCTTGTCGTCTCGTTCCTCCTGTGTGCAGCATCGAGAGCTAGGTTATGGTGACATGCGGCCATTTACTACTAATATTTCCCGGTGTTTACGTCTAGTGGTGTGAGAGGGGTAGTGGTGTGAGAGGAGTGGTTGTGAGGGGTGATAGTGAGGGGTGTGAGAGGGGTGATAGTGAGGGGTGGTAGTGAGTGGTGTGTGAGGGTGGTAGTGAGTGGCGGGAGAGTGATAGTGAGGGGTGTGAGAGGAGGGTGATAGTGAGGGTGTGGAGGGGTGGTGGAGTGGTGGTGGAGAGGGGGTAGGCAGTGGTGGAGTGGTGTGGTGGTGAGTGGGGTGAGGTGAGGGAGAGGGGTGATAGTGAGTGGTGTGGAGGGGTGGTAGTGGGTGGTGTGGTAGGAGAGGTGTGGAGGGTGGTGGGTGTTTGGTAGTGAGTGGTGTGTGTGTGACGGTGGTGGTGGTGAGTGGGGTGAGAGTGTGAGAGCGTGAGACGTGAGAGGTGGTAGGAGGGGTAGGTGAGTGAGAGGTGGTGGTAGTGAGTGGTGTGTGTGACGGTGGTGGTAGTGAGTGGGGTGAGAGGGTGGTAGTGGCAGCCATTTATCCGCCACTATTATCGTAATCTCCTCCGCTTTGATGCATGGAGACCCCACTTCCTCTGGTGTCAGTGGTGGTGTCTAGTGGTGTCAGTGGTGGTGTCAGTGGTGTGTGTAGTGGTGGTGTCTAGTGGGGTCAGTGGTGGTGTCTAGTGGTGTCAGTGGTGGTAGTGGTGGTGTCTAGTGGTGTCAGTGGTGTGTCTAGTGGTGTCAGTGGTGGTGTCCAATGGTGGTGGTGTGCCAGTGTCAATGGTGGTGTCTGTGGTGTGTCAGTGGTGGTGTCAGTGGTGTCAGTAGTGTGGTGTCTAGTGGTGTCAGTGGTGGTGTCTAGTGGTGGTGGTGGTGTCTAGTGGTGGTGTCTAGTAGTGTCAGTGGTGGTGTCTAGTGGTGTCAGTGGTGTGTCTAGTGGTGTCTAGTGGTGGTGTCAGTGGTGGTGTCAGTGGTGGTGTCTAGTGGTGTCAGTAGTGGTGTCAGTGGTGGTCAGTGGTGGTGTCTAGTGGTGTCAGTGGTGGTGTCTAGTGGTCAGTGGTGGTGTCAGTGGTGTCAGTGGTGTCAGTGGTGGTGTCTAGTGGTGTCTAGTGGTGGTGTCTGGTGGTGGTGTCAGTGGTGTCAGTGGTGGTGTCTAGTGGTGTCAGTGGTGGTGTCTAGTGTGTCAGTGGTGGTGTCTAGTAGGTGGTGTCAGTGGTGGTGTCTGTATTTACCTGTCTGCAGCTGTATGAGGAGGATTTGAGGTGTGTGGAGGGTCTGAGAAGATGTGAGAGGAGATGTGGAAAATTTTAGGTGATGTGTTAGGTGAGGGGGAAAGTTCTCTCTCTACACCTACCAACTCACTTCATTGTTTATCGTTTCCTGTGACGGTCACGACTCAGGTGTGCAACTGACAATTTCCAGAAGCATCGAGTCCCCTCTCTTATTGCTACACACGCTAATAAAGGCTCAGGGGATGTCCGTCCGTCCGTCCGTCTAGTGATGTTGTCAGCACGATAACTTGAACCAACAGCCATAGATCTTGATGTAACTTGGTGTCTTGACGTATCGCAACACCATCTATGACCAGTTTGATAATCAGTTTTTTGTATCCATATTTTGGTTAAGGTTAGAACTCATTACCTGGGATGTTGATCTGTTATGGTCAATATTTTTTATCTTGTTCTTTATTTTAATAATTTTGGTGGTGTTTATTTGTATTCGTGTATTTGTTTTATTTGTTTATTTATGTATCTTATTTATTATTAAGAAATACTGAATTTAGACGTTAAAAAAATCACATTACAGTAGTTTGCATATTTTTTATTGTGTATTTTGTGATTATAAATTTGAAATGATAGATTAAAGACTTTTATTTGTCAATTAGGGTGATACTATAATAAAGATTAGATGAATTACTACCAAATAATATACTTACACCTGTCTAATTAATGGGTTACCTGCCTCAAGATTAGATACCTCAATTTATTTCACCTTGGTTAAGTTAGGTTAGGTAAGGTGAGGTTAGGTTAGGTTAATCTTATAGTGAAATTAAAACTGAAGGAGTTATATTTCAGGTTAGGTTAATGTTAGGTTAGGTTAATTAATTACCTCCATAACACTATACAGGTACTCTAATCACCCCCCCCCCTCCCCCCTCAGGCGTGTGCTCCCCGCTATGTGTGGTTCACTGAAAACCTGAAGCGGCGGGAGCCTGTAGGAACCTGCTACGTCGCCCGCCAAGGACTCACCGATTTCCAGGAGTTCTCGCCCTGTAGGACCCGTGAGTACATGTTCTTGTTGAGTTCTATTTAGAGTACTGACGCCCACTTTTCCTGATATTGAGTTCTATTTAGAGTACTGATCTGTAGGACCCGTGAGTACATGTTCTTGTTGAGTTCTATTTAGAGTACTGACGCCCACTTTTCCTGATATTGAGTTCTATTGAGAGTACTGATCTGTAGGACCCGTGAGTACATGTTCGTGTTGAGTTCTATTTAGAGTACTGACGCCCACTTTTCCTGATATTGAGTTCTATTTAGAGTACTGACATGTAGGATCCGTGAGTACATGTTTTTTGTTGTTTTTGGGTTCTATTTAGTGTACAAAACCCGTGAGTACTTGTTATTGTTGAGTTCTATTTAGAGTACTGATCTGTAGGACCCGTGAGTACATGTTCTTGTTCTTGTTGGGTTCTATTTAGAGTGCAAAATCCGTGAGTACTTGTTATTGTTGGGTTCTATCTAGAGTACTGATCTGTACGACCCGTGAGTACATGTTCTTGTTCTTGTTAGGTTCAATTTAGAGCGTGGCGCTCCTCTGGTTGTTGAGTTTGAGTCCTGTTTAGAGTACTTACCTGTAGGAGCCAGGAGTACTTTTTTTTTACGAGCATTAGCCCAACCGGGCACAGGTCATTTTTAATGACCCACATCAAGGCCTGGGGGGCGAAAATATAATATAATAATAATAATAATAATAATAATAATAATAATAATAAATCATCATCATCATCATCATCATCATCATAGTAATGAAAATAATAAAAATAAATAACAATTATAATAAAAGAAAGTAATACAAATAAAAATTATAAATAATAATAATAATAATAATAATAATAATAATAATAATAATAATAATAATAATAAATCATAAATAAATAAAAATAAATAAATCAATAGTGAGAAACAATATGTGTATGTTGTGTTGTCAATAGTAAGAGAAACAATTGAGACCCTGCAATTGTGTGTAAATGAGGCAGAAAGTCAGATCATCAACCTGGGGCTTGGTAGTACCTCCCTGTTTGATAGCTGCCTACTACCTGCACTACGCTCCTCTTGTTGTTGTTGAGTTCTACAGTATTTAGATTACAATATACCCGTTTGCTTATAGAACGACAATAGAGTGAATGAAAGAAAATTTATCGGTGTTGAATGTACAATTATTATTATTATTATTATTATTATTATTATTATTATTATTATTATTGTTATTATTATTATTATTATTATTATTATTAGTATTATTATTATTATTATTTTCTTCCCCCCAGGCCCTGATGTGGGTCAGTGACTGGCCCGGGTGAGTAATCCCATACACACACACACACACACACACACTAAACCATCACTACAGGAGGCACCGTGGCCGACACTGTACTCGATCACCTTCACTTCCCCAACTGTATAGTCAGGTTGATAGATTAACAGACAAACAAACAGAGAAAATGGAAGACAGACAGACAAAAACAATCACACACAGAAACAAAGAAGAACAAACAGAAAGAGAGACAGACAGACAGGTAGACAGACAGACAGGTAGACAGGTAGACAGAGTTATGAAGACAATGGTTGTGGTTATAACAATATCGTCACAACATTACAGGTGACACATAGCGACGACATAACACTCTCTCTCTCTCTCTCTCTCTCTCTCTCTCTCTCTCTCTCTCTCTCTCTCTCTCTCTCTCTCTCTCTCTCTCTCTCTCTCTCTCTCTCACGAAGAAGAAGAAGACGGAGAAAGAAGAAGAAGACGGAGAAAGAAGAAGAAGACGGAGAAAGAAGAACAAGAGAAGAAGAAAAAACAAGAAGAAAAATACCCAATAAACACACAACACAAGGAAATATATGACACAGGCAAGGCAGCTGGTGTACCGTTCTGGAGATAAAAATGTGGATTTTATTCACGTATCCGCGTCCAAGTCGGCCTGAATCCGGCTACAAGAACACAACAATAACAGAGAGGGTGGATGCCAACACGTACACCTCCTCCACCCCTCTCTCTCTCTCTCTCTCGTTCCTGAAGTTTAAAGGCAGGGCAAGAGAGAGAGGGAGAGAGAGAAAGAGAAAGAGAGAGAGAGAGAGACAGAGAGAGACCAGGTAGTAGTGTTACGCGCGGGTGAGTTCCGGTAATGGCCACTCTACAGGGCGGCCCACCAGCCTGTCCTCCCCGGGGTACCTACCTACTTACAGGGGGCTACACCTCCCTACCTACCTACTTACAGGGGGCTACACCTCCCTACCTACCTACTTGTGTCTGTGTGTGGTCTTATGTAATATTTTCATCGTGTCTGTTTCTCCCTCTGTGTGTGTGTGTGAGAGAGAGAGAGAGAGAGAGAGAGAGAGAGAGAGAGAGAGAGAGAGAGAGAGAGAGAGAGAGAACGTGTTATTGGTCACCTTAACAATGTCACAGTTGAAGTGGGACCATAACTCAGGTAAACAAAGACCAACAACACTAATTAACAAACTACATCTGGATATTACTAACACAAACCTGTACACCAAGTTTCATTTATTTCCGTAAAGTATTTTTCAAGTTATCGTGCGGACACCATTTTGGACGGACGGACGGACGGACGGAGCGATGACCCTACATGAGACCCTGTTTTCTATAATGGTATAAAACACATGATTGGTTATATAAGGTGAGGTGAACTTTGACCTCGGTATTTCCTGCAGTTTTGGCCATAGTTAAAATTGGCCCCTTGAGGTATGTCGTGATTTAAGGGGGGTGGGTGATGGGTGGGTCGTGGGTGAGTTGGGGTGGGTGGGGAGGACGGGGGTGGAGTGATGGTGGGTCGTGGGTAGGTTGGGGTGGAGTGGGGAGGACGGGTAAAAGGGGGTGGAAGGGGGTCTGATAAATACAGCCCAACCTCACCTGGCCTCTATGACCACACAGGTGTTGCTGGGCTCTCTCTCTCTCTCTCTCTCTCTCTCTCTCTCTCTCTCTCTCTCTCTCTCTCGTATATCTGCCATTATTTTCTATTTATCCATATTTATATTGAGAAAAAAGACGGTCACACACACACACACACTCACACACACACACACACACACACACACACACACACACTCCACACACACACACACACACACACACACACACACACACACACACACACACACACACACACATAACTAGACATAATGTGATTACTTTTTAGTCTCATTATTTCTTCTTTTCTTTTTTGTGAGGATGGCGGGTATGCTGGGCACCATTGGGTATTCTGGGCACGCTGGGGTTATGCCTGGGCTCGCTAGGGCATACTGGAGCGCCCTGGGTATGCAGGACACCCTCAGGCATGCTGGGTATGCTGGGCACGCTGGGTATGCTGGGCACGCTGGGGTTATGCTGGACACCCTGGAGTATGCTGGGCACGCTGGGGGTTATGCCTGGGCTCGCTAGGGGTATGCTGGAGCACGCTGGGTATGCTGGGCACGCTGGGGTATGCTGGGTATGGAAGGTATGCTCCGTGATCTCTGGGTATATCAGGTCATTTTGCTGGTGTGTTTCTCAGGCCTGGGTATACAGCCTAACCTCCTCGAAGGATTGGTAGAGTATAATGGAGTCATATGTAGAACTTGTGATTAGTTCCACACACCTGCCTCACCACACACCTGCCTCACCACACACCTCACACACACACCTGCCTCACACACCTGCCTCTCCACACCTGCCTCCACACACACCTGTCTCCTGGCCTTTTCCCCACTGTTTCCCATACTTCTCCCTACACACCTGTCTCTCTCCACACCTGCCTCTCCACACACATCTCTCCACACACCTGTCTCTCCCACACACACCTGCCTCTCCCCCACACCTGCCTCCCCTCCTCTCTCCCCTGTCCCCTCCCCACACACCCCTGTCTCCACACACCTGCCGCTCCCCACACCTGCCTCTCCACACACCTGTCCCCATACACCTGCGACTCTGGTAGAAGAATTTACCCAATTGGCTGAGGCATGACAATGTGAGATAGCTTACTTTTACATTTCATCTCTCTCTCTCTCTCTCTCTCTCTCTCTGCCACCTGTGTGTGTGAAAGTCCGCTTGGAGTGCACTTTTTCTCTTTCTCTTTTGTACTCAACCAACAGTGTGTGAATGTTCAGGAGAGAGAGAGAGAGAGAGAGAGAGAGAGAGAGAGAGAGAGACAAAGAGAGAGAGAGCCTTATTGTAAACTATTTCACTTAAGCATGTCTCGTCTAATCGGGTAAATTCTCAAGTAGAATACAAGATGAAGAGAGAGAGAGAGAGAGAGAGAGAGTCACCCCCTGTGCCTTGCCTTCCTTAATCACTGATAGAGAAGGTAACAGGCAAGATGACGTCATAATAACACTGAGACTTACCGTAGCTTGTTGTATTTACGGTCAACAGGAGAAGTGCCGTTAATGATTCTTTAGTCATAGATTCTTGAGGTGTTTAATATATGTGAAGACTAATGTGGTGGTGGGGGACTGACCCGTGTGTGTGGTCTCTTTCCCCCCGTCTGTTTGCCTGTCTGTCTGTCTGTGTATCTGTTTGTTCGTGTGTCTCCACTATCTGTCAGTTTGTCTGTCTGTCTGTCTGTCTGTGTCTGTCTGTGTCTGTTCCTGTGTTTCCCCACATCTGTTGGTTCGTGTCTCCCCGTCTGTCTGTCTGTCTCTCTGTCTCGCAACGAACATCAATTACCTAGAAAACGATCGCTTGTTTAAGGGTGTGTGGGGGGTTAATGGCCTCAACTACGGTGATGGTGATTGAAATATTATAAATTATCTCTTGGTATTTTCTCTCACATTTCCTCTGTTATTTTTTCTTTTTAGTTTTCCTTTCTTTTGTTTCGTTAATCTTATTTTTTTATTGTTCACTGTGTTATTATTCGTCCTCCTCTCTCTCTCTCTCTCTCTCTCTCTCTCTCTCTCTCTCTCTCTCTCTCTCTCTCTCTCTCATTGTTCCTTTTTTATCACTTCCTCCTCTCCCAATACTTCTCTACCACTGCTCTTACTCCTTCCTGCAACTCTCCCTCTCCCTTCCTACCTCCCTCTCTCTCCCCCTCTCTC